AAGATTGGTAGATCAATGTCTAACACCCCCACCCCCCCCCCCCCCATTGGAAAATTAATTAAAAAAACATTTTTTCCCCCCCCCCCCCCTCCCTCCCCTCCACTCCCCTCCCCGTCCCCTCCCCTCGTCGCCAGCACTACTAAATTCTGGACATAAGGTGAAGTCATGCGCTTAACAGTCACAGCAGTACGACGCTGGCCATGAGGTTGCGCAATACAGCACGAACCCTGCGCAATGAGGTCGCGCAATGCAGCTTCGATGCCGCGCGTGCGCACCCGGCAGCCTGACACAGCGCGTACTGCGTTCACAGACCATATTGCTCGACACCAACGAGCATCGATGCAACACAGCCTCTCTGCAAAGCCCTGTGGAGAAACCCCTCGCGTCGCGGAACACCATTCGACTCAGCCTTATACCCTAGCGTGGCGAAATCTTACCGCATCGTGGAGCACACCCACCATAGCGTGACGTCCATCCCTGGCAGTACCGGCCGCACCCCTCCAGCACTATCCTTACAAGGGGGTTGGTCACTGAGTCACTGCGGCTTCGACGCAGCGCGTGCAGGCCTGCAATCCTGACACAGTGCGTGCAGCTGTGGGGCCATAGCTGGTACACATGCGAGCGTTTACGCATTGCGACTTTTACGCGCGCCTGTTTTCACACACCTAGACACAAACGAGCGTCGACGCAACGCAGCCTCTCTGCAGAGCCGTGTGGCGCAATCTGACCGCAACGGTGTTCCTCTTGAGCCTTCTTATGCCTTCTTGTGCTCTCTGGCTTTGTTGGTTTCATCCATGATTGACCAAGGGGCACGTTCCTGAAACACCGGAGACAGTCAGTCCCTCACCAGAAAAGGTCCCGACAGCTACTCGGTCCGTCTCTACCTTTCGTGTTTCCCCGCTCAAGTTTTCTACACCGGTCTCCATGTTGTCCATCTATTGTATAATACCTCTTTTTTGCCAATGGTGTTCCCGCCCCATTGCTTTGGGTGGGTCAAGTACATCTCCCTTTGCTTCGTCAGTCTACCTACCCCCTCAGCCCACCGATCGGCCGCCGCCTCGCGGACCTCCGGCCAAGGCTCTGCTTTGGAGCTGCCATGGGCTCCAATTTGGGCTCCGCCTCACGAGCTGTCTACAGCAAGAAGGCGCCGGAACCCGATCTCCCAAGCAACCCGATCTCGCGCCGAGCTTCGAGTTGCTCGCGAGCGTCGGAGAGGCGAGGTCGGGCGAGGTCGGGCGAGGTCACGAGGATGCATTTCCTTTGGAGAAAAGGGTGTGGATGCATTCCTGAAGCTCTCCAGCTAGAGACAGACCCCCTGCAGTTCGGTAGTCAGGTGGAGAAGGATTTCTTCCATCCAGTGCTGGAAGAGGAGAGATGGATGGAACCAAGTGCTTGGAGGGCGTCCTTTCTGAGATGGAGTGCTTTCTGCCCACATCCTTTCCACGAGTTGGTATGTCGGTTAGGCATTGTTTTTAGACTCTTAGACTTTCAGAGTATATTTTGTAGTTTTTTTTGTTGAATATGCCGGGTTTCGGTAGGTTTGCCACGTTCCCTTTTTGAGTGACTTAGGATGTTTCTGCCACCTACTTTGCTACCCTGGATGTCGCTCCCCACGGACTGTGTGCGCACTCAAGACCTGCCACCCATGTGTAGGTGATGAAGGGAGACATTGGCCAGGGCCGCAGAGCATTTGGGAGGATTGGTGGATGGATAAGGTAAACTCTTGATTCATGAAGCCCCCCAATTGGATTGTAAAACCTCTTACAGGCTGTAGCCAGGTCGCCTGGAACGCTGGTGGCTGCAGGGCTCCTTTTTTGTGGACCTTCTGGGGTTGAGACTGGAGGCAGTGGATGAGACTGGATGGATGGGGGATGGATGGGCCTGGAATCACTTGGATGCTCTTGTCGGGTCTTCTGTCGGTCTTGACAGCTGAAGGGGTTGAGGAGTGCCCAGCAGGAGATTGGTTTATGCGAAATGCAGGGGTTTGCCTGAGCCTGAGAGAGCATCTTTTTGTGTGGAAAATGCATCATATCATGCACCTGCGAAGTGGTTTCATTTGGTCTACTGTACCCCAAATATCAAATATGCAGTTTGCAACAGCCACATGGATGCACTTGGGACTTGGAACTGAAGAAAGTAGATAATTTGATGTTATTTTTGATCCATCATTCGCAAGGGAAGCAAGATCTTCAGATTGCTTCCAATCCGCACACACGCACATGCAGAGTTTTGTGTTTGGCCAAGCATCCAAGCGGGTTTGGTCTTTGTTGCGTAGAGGACGCGTCATTTGGTCGTCCGGTTCAAACCGAGCGAATCGAGGTGAGAACATGGATTCGAGCAACACCTTCTCCGTCGGGGGCGCCGGGTGTGGCAGCGGGTCTACGAGGTTAGACTGGGCAACACACAGAGCAGTATCATAATGTATCATCGAACAGTAGCTGGAGGGGCCCATAGAACAGTAGCTTAGGCTGGCTTATATCATACGCTACCTGCAAGTGATGTACTTCGCAACATCATTGGATGATATGCCTAGCAAAAAACCTCTATTTCTTTAGGTACTCTGTGAGGTGTATCTGTTTTTCTCCGATCACTTCGCTGCGGAGAGTGGCCAGAGTGGCCACGCAAGGCCAGAAAGCACGGTGGGTTCGGGTTCAGTCCCCCCACAGGTCCCCGAACGAAGCGACCGACTCAACCTGGTATGATCTACGACTCCAGAGGGAGACACAAAACGCTTCAAAAGGTGGTGTCCACAGGTCCCCTCCGGGAAGGTGGCTTGAAACTACCGCGCAACTCGCGCGCGTGCCGCGTGCCTTGACACATGGTGACGTCGCAGGTGCGCCAAGCGACGACTTGACACATGTGACTTGACACAGTCAATGTGAACCTGGATGTGGCACAAGAAGTGTTTGACCCAGGGACTGACGGGTTTAGTCCCTATTTTTACCAAGGGTTTTCTCCTTTTAACCCTCAAGTTCATTCCAAATTCACTTGTCTCATATAATTGATTTGTCCTTCTACCCATGTGTGATTTTGGATTGTACTGTGTGATTTTGGATTGTACTATGCAAACATCGGTCACATCCGTCGCCACGACTGGCAGCTGCTTCCTGCGCCTTGCGTCGCTTTGAGGTCCTGACAATCATGGCCACCTTCATGCTGATCCCCATCAGCTTGGCCATTGAGGGCCCCACCGCTACTTGGAGCGCAGAGTGGAGAGTCTGGTGCACACAGGTGGCGTAGACGGTGCAGACGGTTGATGGGGCGAAGTGACCATTGCGGCGGTACGGTGGAGAAATCGGCGATGCCTAGGGCCGAACGGGATGCGTGGATGCCGGTATAAAGGCTTTCACTCACACCATCAAACTCCAGCATTCTTGGATGTTGGGAATGGGATACCATGCGATGGAAAAGGTTATAGATCAATTCAAACAGTGGGATATCATGCGATGGAAAAGCTTCTTCGCACGTTTTCGCAGCGGATGGTTGTTTTGAGCTGCTCCGTTCCGCCAGACTCCCTCAGTGTTCACAGACGCCCGCAAACGAAGGCCACCGATGTGCGCAAAGGAAGCCACATCCACCGCCGATGCTTTCTTCTTACATGTCACCTGGAGTTCTTGGATCAAGAGCTTGACTCTTCTTCAAGGGTTGCAGATGGTTCCAGAAAGCTTGGTACAGAAAAGGTGTGAAAAGAAGAGTTCAAAAGAATTAGATCAAGACATATTTCTTTTACAAACCAATGTCTCCACATGTATTGTTCTCAGAAATAACTCCCACATTTCTGGCGATTAAATGGCTCGGAACCACATTTGACCCGCCAACACCTTCTTTGGCGGTTTTGCTTTCGAGTCCGAGGCAATGGTCAAGGGCTTCAAGGTGGCCTTGTCCGCCGGCGGCAGCCACTTCATGTGGCAGTGCCCTGGACTACTTGGCCGTTTGCACGTCGCGAACGCGCGCTTGGGTGGGATTCCGCTCGCGCTTGGGTGTGATCAACCGCGCGTGCGCTTTGGAAGCGGGAGGCGGCGGGAGGCAGGAAGCGGCAGGAGGCGGCGGGATTCCCCAAGACCGTGAGAAAGCGGACTTGAGATTGCGAGACGGCTCAATTCTAAAGTATGAGACTAGACGTGCCCCCTTCCGCCCAGGATGAGAGAGTCTTGCCTTTAAACAGTGACAGTCAACCTATATAAAGTAAGTGATGTATTGTTGATGTTGCCCAGGAGTGTTTTGTTTGGGAGTTGACCATAGACCCGTGGACCTGAGAGTCCGCAGTCACAGAAGGAGTGTTGAATCCACCCCCTGATGATATATATTCCATAGCTTTTACCTGCCAAATCAGATGCTCAAGATGAGGGATCCCATCAACTTCCCAAAGACCCTCATCTAGAAATACAAGGAACTTGGAAGAGAACACTGGCGTTCGCTGCTTCTGCCGAACGCTTTATGGGTGCGTTCTGCCGAACTCAGGATGATCCTCAGCGACTTGGAGCAGATGGATGATCCTTGGGCGGGTACTGTGTCCGGTCCGGGTCAATCCACAAAGTCAACAAGGAACAGAGGAACATCATGCTGCTAAAAATGATGGGGGGTACTTGTCTTGTACATCTTGAGCAGCTTTGAAGTACAAGAGGAACATCATTCCGTACCGGAGTCCATGAGTTACTCGGGGTGGGGGTTTGGTGCTGTGTTTTCCACCACGTGGAGGCAAAAAGCCACTCCGCTTGTGTAGGAAGGGCTGGGCTGGGCCAGGAACTGCGTGACTTGTCAAGTTCCTTATTTCACCTGAAACTTCCCCTTCGACGTTGAGGCGGCTTCTACTATTACATGTACAACGAGGTGGCCTTCCAAGCACTTGGCAAGCTGGATCCTGTGTGGCTCGGCGAGATCTTTCGAAAGGGGGAGACGGTGGCTTGTCCGAACACAACATCTCCTCCAGTTCCTGGAAATTCAAATGACCTCAGATAGTTCATGAGTTTTTTTGTGGTGGCTCCACAATCTGTCGCCTCATGTGAAAGGGTCATGAGACATGAGGCTTCAGAGCTTCTATGAAAGGCTCCAGACCGCAGCAAAACTGGTGGTTTCGACACCCCTTGCGATTACCACACATTTTTCGATGTAAGCCTTGCCCACTTTATATTGGAAGGGTAAGCTTTTGGACCAGGAAAAGGATCAGGTACTTCTTTTTTTTGCAAACGCCAAGTAGACAGAAAGTTCTTCTACATGCCCGCCAGAGGTTGAGAAGGCTCCCGACTTTTCCTCTCCTGTTTAATTTGATCGAGATCCCAACATGATGGATTTGACACAATTTCCAGGACTTGCTTGAAGGGGATTGGCATATCAATCCTTTTTAAGTGTCACTGTGATGACATTCATAGGTCCTGTCAGACGCTTCAATCACACCACCCTTGTTTTGCCAGGTCCCACGCGGTGTGCAACACTATGAAGCGCGCCGGGGACCCTGGTGGACCCTTTGGGGGGTTCCGCCCGTGGCTGCAACCCCCTCCGTCATGGCCCTCGCTTGGGCCTTGGATCGAAGGCTCGGAGGGGTGCATGGCAGGGTAGCACTTGACCACAAGACCTCCTTCCGGAACATGTCCCAGAGACGACCAACTACAAGAACAAGATCTCCGGAGAAAGAAGTGCCAATGTACTGAGGACACTCAGAGGATACCAATCAAAACAATCCAAACACATACCAAAGCTAAAGGTGTTTTGTTCGCTAGCAAGATCACCCCAGTTCCAGTTCTTCATGTTCTCCCGGGTGATGGGGAGTCCAATGGACTGCCGTATACCAAGGCCCCCTAGGGGTGATGTATGGATACCCCGAATCACCTCTAAGGAGCTACAATTAGACACCCCGAGTTTCGGGAGCCGTACAGGTCGACTTCTTGGGGGTCTCTTTCATCGGTCGACCCATTGGGCACGTGGGTCAGCTTGACGGTCAGCGACGTTCCCTCACCGCCACGTTCTCTACTCGTTACCACGAACGAGTCGCTGAGGTGGTCATCATCATCACCGCCATCTTCGTGTTCCGCAATCCAGTGACCCCCCTGGGCATTTTGGGCAGCTGCGTCGCCATCGCAGGCGCGGCGTTCGCGCGAAAGGGGGACGACGGGTGAACGTCCGAGACGTCGGCCGAACGCAGCTGGACCGATGGTCGTTGGGAGCTGGGTTTGGGGTTTGGGGTTTGGGTTTTGGACGATGCACCCTCCGAGGTCGTAGTATGCACTCGATGCCGCCGAAGAACAACGGTGTTTCTTTTTATTTTTTCGCTGATGGCCGACACCAGGCACGCTCATCTATTCCCTCGCCAAGAACAAGTACAGCAAGAAGCGACCCTGGCAGCTTTCAGCCCCCGCGCGCGGAATGTTTTTGCGCAGTTTTCTGAGCGCCGCGCTCGGTGTGGTTTTTCTCGATGTGGTTTTCCTCACGGCGGACGGTGTGGGTGGTGCCATCGGGCGAGGATTCCAAAGATCCTGTGTTGGGGGCATGACCAAGATGAAAAAGTTGCGACCACGATTCGGTGCCGTGGAGATCAACATGGATATGTATTTGTGCGTCAACCCTGCATGCAGAAAGCTGCCCAAAAACATTATGTATCACATGAGCCGAGCCTATGATGAGCCTCACATGGTGTCTTCCAAAGTGATGAACCCAATCGGTCGATGTTCACTACCCAATCAGCAGCATTCCTGCAGATGTTCCTTTTGCCTTTTTGAGCAACTGATTTAAAACGGAGCTCCCAGCACCTTGAAACTCCCACGTACAGCTTGCTCTGCTGAAGGTCCTGAAGGTACAAGGGTGATTCTGTTTTTTTGAGGACTCCCTCCAGATTGGACTACCATCAGGCCCGATTCAAAAAGCCTCCATCGATTGGTATGGCCAGGATCTGGGTACCTCCAAACCTCTGTTTGTTCGTTGCTTTGATGTATAACGGACGTGCCATATGAAAAAACGTCTCGACGTCTATGTTTCAACATGTTTCAACGTCGTTCGTGACTGAGGTGAGTGTTCTTCTGAGTTTCTCCGAAATGCATGCATATTTTTTTTCATTAAGATGCTGCATGCAAAGCGTACAGCATCAAGTTCTTGATATCGTTTCCATTTCTAAGAAATGTGGCCGGACACTGGGAGAGGGCATGCTAGCTTGTTTGGCAAACCATCCTTCTTTGCCTGACGGATTTTGTAGATAGGATGGATAGTGGGCCCAACTAGATAGAACAGTGCACCACGATGTAAGGGAATTCCTTCTTGTCCATCAGCTACAAAGGTAGTGACCCAAATTGGCATGTCCGAAAGGTACTTAGGTATGTAGCTTGAAAAAGCATATCCTGGGGAAACGTTTCTTCCAGGGGGTCTTTGGGGGAGGTCTCCCTGTTTTAATACACATCCATATGATTCAAGACGACGCAGTGATGTCCTTGCACTTCTTTGCGACGAGCTGCGTTCGCACCACAGAGTCCTTCATTCGGCCGCAGTTTTTTAAATCAAAGGAGAGCAAACAAGTACAGTAGTAGGAATCCAAGCGGAGCCATTTGGAATCATTGCAAGACTCTGTTAATCTCCCAATTCACATGGTTTGAATGGATGTCGCAGACAAATAGATGCAGGAGGTTTTTCATATCGACTCAGTCGTATGTTTCTTTCCTTCCAGGCCAGGTGATGAACAGCTCAGAGGTACCGTCGTGTTTGGCGGCTTTCTGCGAGTACTGTTGTCATTCAGAACCCCCGATGTACGCCACAGAGCCGGTGAAACCGGTAGATGCAAGTGGACCCTGCGATTCGGGGGTGAACGATACATTCAGGGCATCAGATGATCAGATGAATTGAGCAGGGTTCCCTGTCAGATCTGAACCAGACGTTTGCCATGGTGTGCTGCAGTTGGGCTGCTCAAGGGTGTCTGGTTCAGGTTAATTAATCACTTGCTTTGCGCTTTTCGTAGGCCAAAAAACCAAGCAGCCATCACCCACTTGATGTGCCATCCATCACCCTCACCCATCCTCGGCCATCGGCCAACGTGCATGGAATTCGGCCATGGATTCACAGCCTCGAGCGAGCTCTTGGAGGATCAACGTCGAGGAGAGCCACATGTGCCGAGAGTCACCTGATACGTAGCATAATAGCTTTTAACTACGCATATGACCTCTAGGACTCTAGAACTATAACACTCTCTCCATCCACAGGGCTTTCAGAGCCGTTGGGCTTCGGCTCGCTTCCATCGGTGCCAAAGGAATCCGGGAGGGCTCCGCCGGTGTGGGAGGCAGCGGGGGGGGGGTCGAAGGCCTGACTCCCAAGCGATCAGAATGACTATCGACCTGCAAAGTGACTGAATCCCAGGTGAACTATCTATACCATTCTATAACTATCTATCTTTGGAATCCCAGGTGACTTCAAATTTGGACCCATATGCTTGTGAACTGATGTCTTGGATACTCTCCGAAGACATACCTACATCAGAGCGCATAACGGATCATGCTCAACATCCATACTGTTGGGCAGAGAAAATGTGTACCATACTGTACCAGTCAATAGGAGCTTATCCGACCAGCACCTCGAATGCATCTGCACGCCATGAGGAGCTGCGTGCAGATCCCAGTCAGCTCCGGGAGGAGGTCTTCGGCTGGAATGGGATCGGCTACAAAGTGGTTGCAAAGGCGTCGACCGACGCCTCGGGGACCGACGCGTGATGGTCGCCGAGCCGTCCAGCAAGTCGAAGGTCGAGACCTGAAAGAGTCGAAGTTCGTGACCATCCTGAGAGTCCTGAGAGTCCGGATCCATCTTAATGCCGATGAGTCGAAGGTCGTGGGTTAGAACTAGCAGTTGGAGTCAAGTTAGGCGGAAATTCTGGACAAAGCTGAGAAAGATAGGACTGAGATTGCCCTTGGTAGAGTGAACATGAGTGAATCTCATCTTCGATCCAGTCTGAATATGTGTTTCTCGTGCGCTTCCATGTTTTGTTGATGGCCAGCAATTGATCAGATCCTAGACCTTACTGGTTCTCCACGGTGGGACTTGCGAACGAAAGATCGCGGTTGGTGTCCCTGTATTTGGTGTCGTCGACTCGTACAGGAAGCTACGTTCGGGGCTCCTGGCCTTACTACTAGGAGCAAGGACGCTACGTTCGGGGCTCCTGGCCTTACTACTAGGAGCAAGGACGCTACTAGGAACAAGTGCATCGCTTCTAGTAACAAGTGCCTTACTAGTAGTAACAAGAAGCTAGTAGAAACAAGTGCCTTACTACTAGGAGCAAGGACGCTTCCATCAACATTTCCGTACCGATCTGGCTGGGGTTCTCCCCAGGAACGAACGACGTCGTCCGGTTCTGTCGCGCTAGGTGGGCGATCGCCTGCTGAGCATTTGGGCTGGAGACCGCATGGAGTATGTGCTTGGTGCCACTGTGAGGAGCGGAGGGTTTGACTTGGAATCTGAGATGGTCTTGATGTGGAGCCCAGCAGCAATCTATGAACATTTTCCAGATTCCAGATCCTGAGTGATTTGCCCTTAGCAGTTGACCCTGGCAGGGTGAGTTAGCGACTCCTGTTGATTTTTGGCTTCACTTCAATCCTTTCGGCTGTCCATGTACCCTAACAAAAATGGAAGTGGACAACTCCCTGTTTGTAGTAGCAGAGCAAAACGGTCTTTCCAGGGACCATGCCATCGACTTCCATGATGGGCGAGAGGGCCGCACAACCAATTGACCGTAGATGGAGCAAGTATACTCGCTCGTCGGTTGTGCAGGGATGACGCCCGCCCCAACCATGCTGGCGGTCTGTGACCCGGGTTGGGCACGCGTTCAGAGGGGTTGAATGGCACGCGTTTAGTGGTGCTGGTTTCATCGCAATGTCTCAATGGGGAGGAACTTCAGCCTTCTCAGCCTTCCACTCCATGTCGCAAGGGTCTGTGTTGCCGCGTCTGAGTGTTCAGTAGCCAGATTGCACTTGTCCATCGGGACCATCGAGTATTCATCCAAGTTTTGTGGGGACACCATGGGACACCCCAAACACCCATGATCTATACTATTCTATACTGATCGGAAACACACAGAAGTTCCTCCCATTTCGAAGTCGCTTTTTCTTTTTTTTAAACCGCCAACTGTCACACGCCTCTGTTGCGGCACGACCTGTATATCTGTGCTCCAGTTCGATCTCTCAAGCCCACCAGGCAGACAAAAGAGTCCCCACAAGACATCGCAGCACCAAATCGGATTTTCGATTGTTTAGATTTATGTATTTATAGATTTAATTGATAGGAGTCCATTTATTATAGTTTTTAATTTGTGTTTTGCTTGTTTTTTTTTTGCCGCTCTCGGAGCTCCAGGTACGTGTGCCGCACCGAGGCAGCGGCGCTGCGCCAACGGGTGCCGGCGTGGGAAGACTCAGCGGAGAAGGACCGGAGCGGCAGTAGTAATCCAGTGTACTCCCTAACTCCATCGAATAGTTGATATTCAGAGAATGTCTTGGAGTCTTCTTCACAGCGAAAGACACACACACACACATATATATATATATGTATGAAAACCTTTGAACAACTCATATCCCAACAAAACTCTAAAGATCGGTTACGAAGTGCCCAGTTTTACCGTGGCTTGGCTCCCAAGTCCGTGTGGCTCCCAGTCTTCCACCAAACTCGCCGAACGAACCGTGCCTGGCTCCGACAGACGTCCGACCCGAGGCGCCCTGGAGGCCTGTTCTTCGCCCCTCGGGCGCTGCTGCGCTGCCGCTGCGAGGCGGGGTAGGTCGACACGTGAGGCCCTGGTAAGGGGTAGCTGTAGTTCCTGGGTCTGTCTTCCTCTTCCAGGGTGGTCGAACTGGAACGGGGATGAACGGGATCTCTTGATTCTAATACAAACCCGAACTGTGAGTGTTGGAGAGGAGAAAACACTCTGGGTGAGAGAAAAACAAGACTGAGAGCGAGGCTGTATGTGGCAAGATGTTCCCTGCTGTGAACCTTTGCGTGAACCTATGCGGGCGTTTTCAGGTGTTCGGCCAGTTCTGCCATGTTCATTGTTGTGGGAAAAAACTCTCCTGTTCACCGCACTGTCGTGGGAACACTCACACCTGTTCGCGCCGCATGTTCGTGCCGCTCGTCCGCAGGGGCCCTTCGTGGAGTACCGGAACGGGAAACTGGTCCGCTGGCGCAGGGAAATTGGTGGGCCATTTGCGGAGGGGCCATTTGCGGACATCCGGTTTTCAGGGGCCGGCTTTTTAGGTGAACTGTTTTTGGAGCTCATACCAACAGGAGAATATAACGACTCAGTTACTCTCTTGCCTACCGTGAAATGATCAATTCATATCAATTCCATCTAGTGCAGACCAGACATGTGCAGACTCTCATCTCTGATGGGCTCAGAGATGGCTTGAGATGATCTAATCAATCTAAGGCCACACATGTCCTGAGGAATGTCCCGGGCCCTTCTTGGCATGTCCTGGGCCCTTCTTGGCATGTGTCCAACACATCAAACACTCCAAACATGCCGTCCTTCTCGCTAGATGCCAAACTGAAACACGTGAGCTGACCACTGGAACGCAGGACCACTTGCAGCAAGTCCAAGATCTCAAGATCTGCCACCGCAATTTTTTCCCCCCCGAAAAGACAAAACAGGTGCTCTTGGGAGATGATGTTTTCTTCCTTTTTCAAAAGAACATATGGTTCATACCAAATGGCACCCCCGGCATGACCTGCAAGCCCGCCCTGCCCTTCTAGGCCTGTTCGCAGCTCACCGTGCTGGACAC